TGCTTGCGTCACGTGGGCAAGATGGCGGAGCCCGGCAGCGTGGAGGAGATGCGGAGCCGCGTGGTGCTTGGCGAGTTCGGCGTCCGCCACGTGAGGGGGGAGAGGTGCGGGGGCCACGGCCGGAGGGGGCTCGGATTCACGCGTGTCCCCCCGTGACCCACGCGTGTCTTCTGCCCGCCTCGCAGGTGCACACCACGGACTTCCCCGGCAGCTACCCGGGCTACACCGACGCTTGGGACCCGGTCACTTTCCGCCAGGTGAGCAGGGGGGTGGGGGCAGAAGGGGCGGAGCGGAGCGGGTGTTCTATCCCCGGCCCTTCCGAGCTCCTGCGGATGGCAGCGGGGCACCCTATTGACCCCGCGGTGTCCCGTTCCCCCCGCCCTGGCGGGCTGCAGGGTTTCCACGTAGACGTGACCCACATGGACGAGGGGCTGCTGGAGTTCGATCTGGTGGGCATTGATGCTGCCATTGCCAATGCCTTCCGCCGCATCCTGCTGGCCGAGGTAGGGCTTGTGCTGGGCTCCACTCAGGGTCGGACCGAGCACCAGGTTTGGGGTCAGGAGGGATTTTGCTGCGTGGCGAGATTAGTTTGGGCTGTGGGGGGATTTGCCTTGCTCTGTAGCATGGGTGCAGGCCTCTGCCCAGGACTGCTCAATATTTTGAAGAAGCAGGATGGTGGCTCTCGTGGGTCCTTGGCTTGACCTGTAGCAGGTTGGGGTGTCGGGTCTATGCTGTGTCAGGGTTGCAGTCAGTCAGGTGTAGCGGTTGTGGTTCTTGTGAGATGGTGTGGACAAAAACAATCCTGCCTCAGGCAGGGGCTGGACTAGATGTGACCTCTGGAGGTCCCTTCCAGTCCAGCTTCCTGATGACTTCGTGACCCAGTCGTTGTCTGTTTTTCCCCCCTGGGATCTCTCTTGCTGCCGCAGGGAGCTGATGCAGAGCAGGGCTGGTGCAGGCTGGAAGTTGCAGGCTTGGTCGCGGTTTCCTTTGCATTTCATCAAGTTTTGTCCTAGCTGCTGGAGCAGATGTGGGAGTTGGCAGGTTGGAGAAATAAGGTCATACTTTGGGAAAAGGAGGAGACTGATTAGAGAGAGATGGAAAAGGCAGAAGTGCCAAAGTTGCTGGGGGCAGAGGGAGGTCAGAGGGCCGTGGGTCGACTCATTTGCTGCTGAGCTCATATTTATGCTGGAGGATGCAACGCGTATCTTCTGGAGAAGAAATAAGCAACCTGATTGTTTCCTCTCCAGACAGCCAGAGAGGGTGGTCTAAGACAGGCCTAGTGTTATAAATTGAAGCTGTTTAATTAACCAGCATATACTGCTAATGGCAGCACTGGAGCTGCTTCCTTAGGAGAGTTTTGCACAGATCTCCATGCCTGGCCTACGGTAACAGTGAAACTAGTGGTATTAGTCAGTTATGAAGAGACTGCAGAGTCTGGTCTGCAAGAAAACTAGGAGATACACAGAGAGCAAGAAAAGATGAGTAAAAACAGAGGAGAAAGGAAATGGAGGAACCTAGTTTAGATCAGCAAGTTTCAACCAAAGCACTGTCAAATCCTTCTAGATGTGGGAACACCTGCATGCAATGTGTGAGGTAAAACCAGTAATTACAAATGGGAATCCTTGGTGTCAAAACCATTGCGACCTGCTGTAATCTGTCTGAATTCTTTGCAACAGAAGAATTACTCTAGTATTTTTTTTTTGCACTCAAGAAATGAATGAAAACTCAGAGCTGGTGTCTTTCAAGGGAGCTTGAGTCTAAAAGGGTTGAGAACCACTGATCTGGATCACTTGTGGGAAGGGGCTGTCACCAGGAAGAGTTAATTAGATCCCAAAAAGGGTCTGCGTGGAGCAGAAATGTTCTGGCTTGATATTGGGTGGGGGTGCACTGCAGGCATGCTGCCTGCCAGGACTGACTTGCTCTCTCTCTACTCCTTAAGGTACCGACAATGGCTGTGGAGAAGGTCTTTGTGTATAACAACACATCCATTGTGCAGGATGAGATCCTGGCCCATCGCTTAGGCCTTATCCCTATCCAGGCTGACCCTCGCCTTTTTGAGTACAGAAGCCAAGGTGAGAGCCAGCACCAGGACAAAAGGATGCATTGGGGGGGATCTTCAGAAGGGGTAACAGATTGCTGTGTGGGCTGAGGTTCAGGAAGGGGTGGAGGAGGTGGCCTAGCCTGGGACTCACTCTGCTTTCCTCTTCCCAGGAGATGAGGAAGGCACAGAAATTGATACCCTCCAATTCCAGTTGAAAATCAAGTGCAGCCGAAACCCCCGGGCAGCCAAGGAGTCCTCTGATCCCAATGAGCTCTATATTAATCACAAAGGTAAACCTCCAAGTTGTTGGGGATCCTGCTGTAAGCCCCATGTAACCTGAATTTTTTTTTCTTGTCCTTGAGGGTGAAGAGAGCCAGTCCTGTAATTCTGTGAAACTTTCTTTTTGGCAAGACCTGATGCTGTTGGGACAGCAGCCCTTTGCCTGAGTATTGGCTTCTCTCCATGGGTGCTGAGGCAACTTGGTTAGATGTTGGTGACCTCTCTTCTCCACAGTATACAGCAGACACATGACGTGGGTACCTCTAGGCAATCAGGCAGACCTCTTCCCAGATGCATGTTTTCGACCTGTTCACGATGACATCCTCATCGCCCAGTTACGGCCTGGCCAAGAAATTGATGTGCTCATGCACTGTGTCAAGGGCATTGGTGAGTTGGGGTTGTGAGCTGGGGCAGTGAGATGAGTGCGAGTACCCCTGATGCAGGGTATGTGGGGAAGGGAGGAAAAGGAACCCAGACATTCCTCTAGGGTGGTTTGGTGAGTGCCTGAAGTTCTGAATGACATGAGGACCCCCCCATGGGGTTTCATTGTGCCAAGGGGTGTTACCAGGTGTTCTGATGGAAGTGGTTTCTCCTGATTCTTGGAGAAGCTCAAGGCAGTACTGAGAGGAGCTTCATGACACCCAGCAACTCATTCAGGCTCTTGTCTCCTGGCTAGTAAAGCAGGGGCTGTGGCCTTTGAGTGGGATATGGTGCCTCTGCTCCTCTGGCTGCACCATTGCATAAGGTTTGGCTGGGGCTCATGACGACTTCTTTCCTTATTTTCCAGGTAAAGATCATGCTAAGTTTTCTCCAGTGGCCACTGCTAGTTACCGGCTGCTGCCTGACATCACTTTGCTGCAGCCCATTGAGGGGGAGGCAGCTGAGAAGCTGAAAAAGTGCTTCTCCCCTGGAGTCATTGAAATCCAGGACATCAAAGGTATTTTCTATCCCCACCCCAGGACCTTAGCATTGGCTAAGGGGAGACTGAGCGCAGACTAGAGGCAAGCATTGTACAGATAGATTCTCTCCTCTGATGTCCCTCCAGCCCGGCTTAGGCCATTCCATTCTGTCCTGGGCCTGGGGTTAACCCATGAATGGCTGTCATATAGATGCATCCAGTGCCTGGTTTGGTACCTCCTTTTCTCTTAATCCTTAACACTTTTGATAAGGCAGGAAGTACTTCTTCACTCAGCTCTGTGACTGTCCTCAACACTGTTACCTGCTGCTCCAGGGTCCAGAAACCCTCTCTTGTTGTAACTCCAGGCTGTTAGCCACTTGCTCCCAGTGGTTATGAGTTGCTGGCTGGCTCCAGGTATAATATTGGACAAGCTGAGCTTTTTTGAGCTGGCCCTGCCTGGGGAGTACTTGGGGGTGGGGGTTGGAACTTATCCTGTGCTGAACCTTGTATTAGAAATGAAGTAGTTCTTAGTATAGGTCTCCAGTGTCATAGCTAGGTGCAGAGAACTGCCTGTTTTGAATGCAGCATGCAGGTCTGGTAGCATGAAGCATAAATGCTTGTCCCTACCCACTGCAGGTTCCTATTTCACCTCTTCTCCTCTTGCAGGGAAGAAGGTGGCGAGGGTGGCCAATGCTCGGCTGGACACGTTTAGCCGGGAGATCTTTCGTCATGAGGAGCTGAAAAATATGGTGCGTCTGGCACGAGTGCGGAATCACTATATCTGTAAGTAACCTCAGCCCTAACCACAGAGTACACCCCTTTCCTGCTGCATGCGTCGTTTCTCATCCTGCTTAGGGTCTGCAGAGATTTGCCAGCATATTCTAATCCTTCTTGTTCCTTTTCCTCCAGGTTAACTCTGGTATGTTCATATTCCAGTAGGTAGGTGTCCCTATGGGTTTCATAGAATTGTAGAAGTAGGGTCAGAAGGGACCCTATAGATCTTCAAGTCCGACCCCCTGCCAGGGCAGGAGAAAAAAAAACTGGGATCAAATGATCCCAGCTAGGTAGGCATCAAGCCTCCTCTTAAAGACCCCTAGGGTAGGAGCCAGCACCACTTCCCTTGGGAGTTGGTTCTAGATCCTAGCCGCCCTAACTGTGAAGTAGTTCTTACGGATGTCTAATCTAAACCTCCTCTCCAACAACTTGTGGCTGTTATTCCTTGTTATGCCAGGGGGAGCTAGGGGAAACAAGGTCTCTCCCAAACCCTTCTGGTCCCCCCTTAGTGAGTTTATAGACGGTCACCAGGTCCCCCCTCAGCCTTCTCTTGTGAAGGCTGAACAGGTTCAGGTCCTACAGTCTCTCATTGTAGGGTCTGCCCTATAGTCCCCGGATCATTCGGGTGGCCCTCCTCTGGACCCTCTCAAAGTTGTCCACATCCCTCCTGAAATGGGGCGCACAGAACTGGACACAGTACTCCAGCTGTGGCCTGACCAGTGTTGCCTAGAGGGGGAGGATCACCTCCTTGGACCTGCTAGAGATGCACCTGTAGATGCATGACAAGGTCCGGTTAGCCCTGCCAACTGTGACCTCGCATTGTCGGCCCATGTTCATCTTGGAGTCAGTAATGACTCCAAGATCCCTTTCTGCCTCTGTGCTCTCAAGAAGGGAGTTTCCCTTCTTATAAATGTGCTGGGTTTCTGGTGGCTTTGGAGTGAAGATAGATCTGCATTTTGTGCCCCTTTTGCTGACTAACTTTGCATCATCTGATGTGTTGGCCATGAAGGATTAAACTGGTGGTGGTGCATGTATGCTGCTTCCTGGTGCCTGTGCTGATCCTTGTGTCTCTGTCCAGTTTCAGTGGAATCAACCGGTATCCTGCCTCCAGACGTGCTGGTGAGCGAAGCCATCAGGGTGCTGATGGGGAAGTGTCAGCGCTTCCTGGATGAGCTGGACTCTGTCCCCACTGACTGAACTTTGCAAGTCTGAGAAACAGAAGCTTATGCTGTTGGCCTGGGCTTCTTGCAGCCATCTGCACGGGTTGTTTCCAGTCCACATGTCTGAGCAGTGAGGGGCCTTCTGTGTGCTGAGGCATTGAGACCATCTACTGTGTGCTCTCCATTCTCTGTACAGATTTTTTTAAAACGGAGCTCTGAGGAGGAAATGCTCCAGAATAAAGGTCTTCCTGACTGTGCTGTCAGCTGCTGCAGGCAATGTACAGAGGACATTTTGATGTACTACCCATTAGCAGCAGGCTATGAAAGTGTCCTGTGGTTCTTGTTCTCCAACTGTGTAGCGCCTGAAGAGAACTAATAGCAAGGGCAAGTGGACCTTAGTAAAGAGTCTACTGCAAAGTATTGCTATTGAATTGCTAATAAAGTAAGGGCTGCTGACTTTTTTGTGTCTGAAGTTAACTTAATGAAGTGGCTGTGATTTGTTGGTTTTTTTTTAACTGGGTTAAGTGAAGAGTCACATACTATTGGTTGATGACTTAATTATGAATCAGTACAAAGTTTCATGTCCTTGAACTTGCAAGGGTACCTGGCAAGTTCTGCTGTAGTCCACGTTCCTGGTTTTCAGCTTTTAAATGTCACATTGCAGTGCTAAATACACTACTTTCCCAAGGTGAGTAGTTGCTGGTACAGGAAGGGATAATTGTAGATATGGCTGACCTGCTGAAGCAGGGGTGTGTAAAACAGGCTGGGACAGCAGGAGTGTGGCCCCTTGCTCAAGCTGAGCAAAGAATAAAGCATGAAGAATTTAAAAAGAGGGGGAAGAATTAACATGGCTGTGAAAGGCTTGGGGAGATGGTTTGGCCCTGTCTCATTCATCTGATCTCCTATCCTGTTACCTACAAAGAGGTATTGCATGACTTCAGGATTTTATTTTAGCAAGGAGGCAGGTGTAAACTAGGTCATTTAGAGATTTTGTTTGCAGGCATTACTGTGCTGGGTTTGAGACTGCTCAAGGGCAGAAAGTGCTAGCCTGTGTGAGCCTAAGGTCATGATTACTTTTATCAGTGACTAAAACCATATCCCCATAATGGTACATGGAAATCTAATCTTTTGAATAGCAGCATCCAGGACTATACACTAAAAACAGTGGATCTCCCCTCCATTCCCCTGTAATGAAAGGTTTGGAGTGGCTAAGAACTGAAGTGGGGATAGGCTATAGAACCTGTATGGGCAACTGAGGACCAGACACTGTCATTTGTGGTCTTAGTGTAACTGACTGCCAAGATGAATTCTCAGGATGGCAGGCAAAGGTGCATCAGTCAAATACAGGTTGGATTCCTTTTCTTGCAAATCTGGTAGTCGGTAAAGTAGCTAACCCCATTGCTTTGCATAGGTGCCTGGCTGAGTTCTGAGTGGCATATATGGAAAGTAGGCGAAGTATGTTTGTTCTCTCATCGCCTGACATACCAGCTAGTGGCAGGCAGGTGAAGTCTCTTGCCAGTTGTGAAATGGCCTAGCCCTTGCAGCAGATAGATATGGCCACAGCTAGGTGCAGGGACAGTCGGCATTGGTTCTGTAAAGTTGCAGAGTACAGTTTCTTCCCTTTTGTGGAGCACTGCTTTGGGAAAGATGTGCAGAACTAGCTTATGTAAAACTGCAGTCACTTCTGGAAGGAGACTGTGGCTCTCAATATTGCCATATCTTCATGGAATAAGATGGTGGGGATTCTTCATAGTGCCTGATGACCACCAGAGACCACTGAAAATGCCAAGTTGTCCAGTAGAGGTTTTAAGGTGGTTGAAGTCTCATGCTGGACTGGGTTTTTGCATTATGCCTTAAGCCATTTTGTTGTTGTGATTATAATGTTGACTGACTGACATCTGATGTAGTGCTACTGCTGGCCACTGGACTGCTAAAAGGGCATGTTAGAAGGAAGGAATAGGCTACAATCGGACCTAGACAGGTTACAGGGGTGGGAGGATGAGAATAGGATGGGATTCAACACTGACAAGTGCAAGGTGATGCACCTGGGGAGGAAGAACCAGCACCATACCTACAGGCTGGGGAACTACCTTCTTGGCAGTGCAGAGGCAGAAAAGGATCTTGGAGTCGTCATTGATGCCAAGACGAACATAGGCCGGCAGTGTGGGGATGCAGTCAGGAAGGCCAACGGCAACTTGTCATGCATCTACAGATACATCCCAAGAAGGTGATCCTCCCCCTCTATGCGGCACTGGTCAGGCTGCAGTTGGAGTACTGTGTCCAGTTCTGGGCACCGCACTTCAGGAGGGATGTGGACAACCTGGAGAGGGTCCAGAGGAGGGCCACTTGTATGATCAGGGGGCAGCAGGGCAGGCCCTATGAGGAGAGGCTATGGGACCTGAACCTGTTCAGCCTCCACAAGAGAAGGCTGAGGGGGGACTAGTGGCCTGTTACAAACTAGTCAGAGGGGACCAGCAGGCATTGGGGGAGTCCCTGTTCCCCCGAGCACTACTAGGAGTGACTAGGAATAACAGTCACAAGCTGGCAGAGGGTAGATTCAGACTAGATATCAGGAGGCGCTACTTCACTGTCAGGGCGGCTAGGATCTGGAACCAGCTTCCAAGAGAAGTGGTGCTGGCTCCTACCCTGGGGGTCTTTAAGACAAGGCTAGACAATCACCTTGCTGGGGTCATTTGACCCCAGTACTCTTTCCTGCCATGGCAGGGGGTTGGACTTGATGATCTGCTCAGGTCCCTTCCAACCCTACTAACTATGAAACTGTTTTTCTTATTTAGGCGAAGGGAAAAACCTGAAAGTTCTGCTAGTTTCAGGATCCCCAGCACTAACTGAAGCAAAGATCCTGGTACAAACAATGTTTATTTCAGCTGCCAAGTAGTAGTTGCACTAGGCATAGCTTAGCTTGTGCACGGAGACTAAAAGCATTCCTTACAAATAGGTCATTTAAGCCCTCTGTGACAAGGAGGTGGTTTAGGAAGCCCTAGTACCTTTCACAGTATCCTGTCCAACATAAAAAAAGCCGTTAAAGAACAGTCTGCAATATAGATGGGGTAGGGTCAAGGCCTGCTGATATGTTTTTGTCACCTGGGTACACTTAAGAACTGCTTGATTAGCATCAGCCTTCCCTGCGGTCCCAAGCTGAAGCCCAGTTGTGTCCCTTGAGATGAATGGAGACATACATCTACATGTACACTTTAATGTGCATTAGCCTATTTTAATGTGCATTAAAGCATCACTAAAAATCCATGCTGTTTAGTTAACTGCTTTTCAGTTAAGGTGGATTAAGGCAGGCTAATACACATTTTTTTAGTACCTCAATGGAGGTACAAGATTTAATGTGCATTAAGTAAAGTGCATTAATGTGTGTGTAGACACTTTCCATGGAGTCGTACTTTTTGCATCAGTAACTTAAATCCCCTCAGCAAAGCCACAGGACTCTCTAATTTGTCTTCATTGCCTGCCCCAGGAAGTATTCCCACTTACCTTTCTCTCTTTAAGAGTCCTGTTTTCTGGGTGAAGCTATCATTCTGCCCTGATACTGATGGACCAGCACAGCCTCTATCCTAGCCTAAAGGCAACGACACTGAACAAGTGTACATGCTGCCTCAGATTCAGGATGGCAAAGTTTGTTTCAGACAGACCTGATTTGTGGTTGTTTGCTTACAGCCCAATCCTTCAGGCCTACCGGAAGCACCTGTGATTAACAGTTGGACACTTCATAAAGGAGTCTTGCTCTTTCCCCTACCCCATCAGTGAAGCACCCATATTATGAAATTGCCATAATTCCCATAACCCTGCCCTTCCCAGGAAGCAGCAATGACTTGGTAGACTTCCTGGTTGGCAGGCAGCCAGCCACCAACTGCAAGCAATCTCTGATGAAATTCCGTAAGTGGGGGGATTCCAGGGACAGTTGCTTACCAAGAGCAATGCTAGTGTCTGCACTTCTGCTCCATAGTGGAACAAACCCAAGATTACTGCTAGATGCTTGTTTGCTATAGGGGACTGCATCTTGGGTGCCTTCCCACCTATTCTATTTCACACAGACTACCAAAGTGAGGTGAGACCAGATCATGCTCATGTTGGTAGCTCCCAAATGGCACTAGTGTCCACAAACTTTCCAGTGTCACAAGTGATTGTCCCTCATGCATTCAGAAAGTTGTACCAGAGTGGGAAAATGCAAGTCTCAGACTCCCTACCCATGGAAGCGATTTGTGGCCCAACATTACCCAGACGCAAAGTAGATCCCACTAACAAAGGTTCATGACTCTTTGCTACAATTAAACTATTCTGGGCCCTACTTTACTGACATCTGTTTGGCAGCAATACTACTGCATCAAAGTCAATCCCCCACAATGAGACTTACATTAATATACAAAAAATATATATAATGCATGGTAGTGTGCGGCTGGGGTCAAGTTTCTTCCATTATGGGATACTCTATTGATAAAGGTGCCTTATTTTACTACTTGACTGGATGGACCCTTCCACTTAAAAGCTAGGACTCAACCCATCTTTTATTTTAAACTACACTTTTGAAACAGTAATACCCCTGATAACAACATAGCTTTGGTAGAAGTGTCTGACCAGCAATGAAATCAACTAAGCAGACAGCCTGTAAAGTAAACTTAAAAAGCAAGAGGTACCTTGGATCTTCAAAGTAAGCAAAATGCATGGTTTTGGAAAAGGATAAAAGATACCCTTTTCCCATAATATAAGCCTTTACTCTTTCCAACTCTGGGCCAGGACTATTAAATTTAACATGGTATTTTCCTCAAGGTAACTTGGAAGTAAAGCTGCAGGCCTATTAAAGCATGAGCTTCGAAAATATTTCAAAATCTAACTTGTAACTAGCTCATCTCTGCCCATCAGGTAGTAAATGAATTAACTGTAAGTAGCTGCACTTGTTGAATGCAATTAACACAAAAAAATGCTAAATGTTGCAAGAATGCACAAGACTTGCAAACTGTCTCATATTCTAAGGTTTGGGCACAAGCAAGCATGGCAAGCCTTATTATTTAATCTAACATCTACATCACTTGCCACTTTAGCCATTTAGTGGACAAGTAAGGGCCACAATAATTTTAACTGCAAAGGCAAAACCTTAGGAAGTTCCAGTGCTGCCTTGGTAATTCACACAAACAGCATATTGTGCACCCTCCCCATTTACTACCTTGTTTCTCACCTTTTAAACTCTGGTGGGGCCTCTTTTTCTCTATGCTGAACTCCTGTGTAACACTGGTTAGACCATCATGCCCCAGCTGAGGTTAGCTGCCATAGCTCCATATGAAGGGGTAGTAATAAGTGCTGCAAGCAATGCTTTGCATTTCATTTTTGCACTAGAATTGAAGCAGCTGAATGTGCGCCAGAATTCTAGCTTCTGTTCCTTGCATTCTGACTTCAACCCCTAGTGTGCAAAGCTCACATATGCTGTGCCTTT